ACAAGGGCAAAGAAAGTCTTTTCCTTTGTCTCCAGGCTATTTGCCCCATTCAGCAAATGCCTTACATTTTTCTAGTCTTACCTCTGCTGCCCATATGCCTGTAGAAGTCCTGGCTGCCTTCACACTCCTTGCCAAATTCAACTCCAGATGGTCTTTGGCTTTAACTCCATCCCCTTCATGGTTGGACAGTGCCTCTGTACTCCTTCCGAGGCACCTGACCCTGCTTCCCCTTCCTCTACACTCCCTTTCTGTGACCATTCCTCGTGACACACAATATCCAAGTCCTGCAGAGGTTGTCCTTACTCTTCAGCTGGTACTCACACCCAATTACCCAGTCAAGCTTAAGTATGTCATTTATTGCTGCAGTCACCACCTTCCAGGTGAGAGAGACACCCTCATCCCCTGAGGTCTCAAAACATCCACTCACATCTAACAACACAGGTATGAATTCCAGCCTTGTGGCACACATCAGGAATTGTGGGGCTGTTCACTTTTCCCTGCAGCTTTCACCTTAAATTCCTACTGATGCCCCAAAAAAGGACCAGCACTTTACTTGGCCAAAGAATAAAAATTTAAAAAACCCAATCCACATCCTTAAAAAACAAAACAACTTGAAAGTATATTTACTTTTATCATAGCATTATGACTACAGAAATTTATAGTAAGATATAGTATCAACCAGTAGAAGGTTTGGGAGAAAATGAATTTGTAGAGGAAGAACACTAACCAGACATTTATCAAGCAAAACAATTCAACCTACCTCTTCCTTTTGAAAGGTGACTTTGGCATGTCAGCCACAGGGATCATCTGCTCTCCTGGCCGTACCCACATGATGGGACCATCGTCGCTGTCTTTACGACTCTCTAACTTTAAGCTAGAAAGAGTTCCCCATGGCAGCGTACACTAGTGGGAAAGACAAGCCACAGTTCTGAGGTGAGTTACTGGAAAGACTTGTTCACAGCAGCCTTCATCTGTCACGATGGAAACATTTATCAGAACACTCAATCATCTACGCAAGTATCACAGACTCTCGCGTGATGGTAACAGCACTAGACAGCATACTGTCCCCCTTCTCCCAACCCACTCCCTTCTCTCCTTACTTTTAAGAAGGGTGATTCTTCCAACATATCAAGAAATTCAGGGAAGTAATCCCCCACTTCCTCATCAACTGCTCCAACCAGGCTGATCTGTCTCATTGGGCCAGCTCTATACGTACCATGAGAGTATGTTCTTTTTACCTACAAGTAGAATATGACAACAAAAGTTATACCAAGTCCACTCTGTACATCTACTTCCAACACCTTTCATCTCTATGCTTGTGTGAACTCAAAGACACACGTTCTTATTAAGCATCCATGACAACTTGGATTTGGCTTTCACTATCTGAAGGCAAACTGGAGTAACTATTTATTGCCTTGCAAGAAAATCACAATCCCAAGTAGTAACTGTGAAAATCCATTAATGGATGCTCTGCTCAGTAACTAGGAAATAAGGATTCTTACCTGGATTACTCAAGTCTAGCTGCATTTTTACCTTCATCCTGTACCAATTAGGCAGAACCCTAAGTTACAACTAATTTAACTCCAAACATTTCCTCTGCTAATCATCCTCTTCAGTACAGCCTCTGGAGCTAATGATCACAGTGAAGACAAAGCTCATAAAGAGTTGGTACAGGAAGAGAGAGAATTATAGTTATCCCTTTGCTGTGCTGACACATCTTGTGCTCCCTTCAAGCTTTAAGGGCTGCAGCATTCACCTCTGGAGAGATCTTTGATTGTGAATTTGAACAGAATCACACACAGTGTTGTAAGGTTTTTTCAGTAACCCGATCTCTTGTGTGATCTCTACTCAGACATGAGGCTGATGAGGATCACGTCCCCTTAAGCTTCAGATCTCCTGTTTAACAGGCTGAAAGACACAGTGGCATTATGAGATGAAATTAAATGAGACCCCAAGAGAGGGAAGAGCAGATGGAGCACTGCACACACCCACACCCTCCTGCACTGCACCTCTAGACATTCTGCATCCAAAGCAAGAAAAAAAAAAGTGCAAGGAAAACAGTTAATGAAATACAGCCTAACTATGGTCCTCACCCAAACACACCATCACAATTCCTAACAATTAAGGCAGTGCAGAGGAGAATCAGCAGCAGTTCCTGAAAACAGGACTAGCTCACGGAACGTGGGATAACACTGTGCCCCTCTGAAGAAGCTCAACTGATGTAACCAGATGCATTCCAGAAATTCAGAACCAACTACTCTTCAGATCACCTCAGTCACTCACGCCCAGGAAATGGAGGATTGCCTAAAAGTAGGATGCTACAAGATGTCTGAGCCGATGTCATCGCATCACAGCCACCCTGAGAGGAGCAATACTGCCAGACAGCAGTGTTCCCCTATTCCCCAAATCCTCAGTCAGACAGCAGTGTTCCCCTATTCCCCAAATCCTCAGTCATACATTCCAGCAGCAGTTTTAGCACAGGCAGCTGGTGGTTTTGTGACAAACCATCAGAAAACATCAGTTTCTGCTGGATCTGCAGCAGCTCAGCCCTCGGCACTGACAGAGCACCAGGAGCTCACACAGCTGAGGCACTGCACGAGGAAGGGACACTCACCTTCCTCCATCCTTACTGGACAGACCAGTTCCAAAGAATCCTGAAAGCATTTCTGAAGCTACAGACAGTCACAAACCCACTACAGTTGATTAGAACACCTAACATGCACAACTGACAGAAGCAGTTTAGCATTTAGGACACTAAGCTGCTGTTTTCATCTATACTCCTGACTAATGAGAACCATTTTCCTTCCTTTTTCCATGCTTCCTTCTGCTACCATTACCATTCTCCCAAGTAACAAGTAACAGGACAAGGGGAAATGGCCTCAAGTTGCACCAGGAGGAGGTTTAGATTGGCTACTATGAAGTATTTTTTCACCAAAAAGGTTCCCAAGCGACAGACCAGGCTGCCCAGGGAAGCGGTTGAGTCACCATCCCCGGAGGTATTTAAAAGACAAATAGATGTGGCACTTAAGGACCTGGTTTAGTGGTGGATTTGGCAGTACAGGGTTCACAGCTGGACTCTCAAAAAGGTCTTAAAGGTCTTTTGCAACCTAAGTGTTGTATAATTCACATAGCATATGATGAGCTAGTTGTGAAATGACTCCAATCAAAAAGTCCAAACCTTCCCCCAAAAATACTAACAAGGGAAGTTTACAGAAGCTGTGAAGGTTCCAGCTGACCAACTCACCCCTCTGGCTCATGTACCACTAGGTGCTGGCAATGAAGCATAAAGCCAGCCAAGCACTGAAGTGCAGCATGATGCTTGCTTAAGGTGGGTCAATTAAGACATTTCTTATACATTCCTCAAAAGACCATGACACCGAGTTCAAACTGAAAGATCAGCTCAACTTTAAGCATTCTTTGTCCACCCTTTTTCACTCCTAGCTCTCCTGCTCAGTTATGCTCCCCTCAGTCACCAGGCAGTATAGGCTGCTTGGCAAGATCCAGCTGAGAAGAGATGAAATACCAGAATGAATGCTCAGATAATGTCAAAGTGACAAGTGATGAGTGGTTTCTCCTGGGACCACATTCAGAGTCCTATCACTGCACATGCAGAACGAAATGTCTGAGCGATTAACAACTCTGTGGTGGGTTAAACCTCAGGCAGCAGATGTTTATCTTACAGCCCCTGCTCACTCACCTCCTGCCGTGCTGAGACACACAGGAAAAGCAAGGAAATACACGGGTCCAGATGAAGACAGTTGATTAAGTGCAGAAAAGAGGAAAGCAGAGCCCAAAGCACCAAGTGGTGTTTTCAGCACTCCTATCTCCCACACGCAGTTCAGTCTCCTGAGCCCTCCAGCCAACACTCCTCTCCTCTGCTGAGCATGATGGTGTGAGGCATGGAATATCCCTGCAGTCAGTGTGGACCAGCTATCCCAGCCATGTCCCCTCTCAGCTCCTTATCCACCCCAACCAACTCACCAGGGTGTCCAGACCAGGGGAAAAAATAAAGCCTTGACCCTGTGCAAGTTCTGCTCAGCAACAGCCCAAACACCAGTGTGTTAGCCACAGTTCCAGTCACACATCCAAACACAGCCCCATGACAGGCTGCTACAAAGAAAACTGACTCTAACCTATCCAGACCCAGTACAAAAGAAAATAAATCCATGCTGGTGATCAAAGGGGAAGATTTGGTCTCTCTTTCTTCCCTTCCTTCCTGCTAGCAGTAGGTCTCCTAAAGGTAGCCAGGAGCAATTTTAGGGAACTGATCTGAATTTAATCCAGAAATGACCCAAAGAATTTATTTCTTCATTTTAGAAAATGCTAAAAATCAAATACAGACATAGGCCAGAAAGAACAGGAGGGAATCTGGCAGATGAGGCAGCTGCAGGCAGTGAAGAGTGACCCTCAGCTCTGGCTTCAGGTCACGGTTGCTGTTCAAACTACATTACCTTAATTAAGGAATTAGAAAAACATCTCAGAAGGTGAGGTCACTCTTAGTGGGGTGAACTAGCTCATTCTCACTCACTCCCAAATTAAACTGCTACCAACGAACACCAAAAAGCTGCTGCTGATGTTTGACCCATGACAAACATGAAATTAATCCTCTTAAAGACAACCACCAAACACATAACCTATGGCATATTAGAGACCAGCAGCATTTTCCTTTCCCTTTGCTGTCAGTATCCTTTGGCTGGTTTATCGACAGGAAGAGAAACAGATTCCTCTGTGTATCTTTAACCTCACAAAACCAACAGAGAAGTACTAAAAGCAGTACTCACTCAGTGAATTCTAGATGTTAAATTACACACTGAAGTGCTACACTCCTTTCCTAGACTGTGATTTGACAGTGTGACTGTGCTCAGAACCTTACAGACCTGCTCGGAAAAGCAGCTGGAACAATGTAAATCCAGAATCAAAGGAGGAGTCAGTGACAGCTGCTCTTCCAGCACGTGGCCATGAATGAACACACCCCCCAAAGTCACCAGGTACATGTGGTGTGATACCATGGACAGGGAAACAGACAGAAACACAAATTAATAAATACAAACAGCCTAACTTCTTTCTTCTCAGGCAGCTTAAGTTGGAAGTGTGTCCCCTGAGAACACTAAAGGACACTGTGTCACTCGCATCACTGTAAGGGAAAATGAAGCACTGAATTCAGTTAGTAAAACCTGAGAATAATCTGTGTGGCCTCAACTGATTTTTAGTGTGCTAGCAAATATTCTATTTGGTGCCTATGAGAATCTGAACACTAACTGTGACTATTTGAGAATTGCCATCCTACAAATAGGAAACATTTTAGACACTACACATTAAATGTGTTTCCATTCTCTGTTTGAAAAAGTCCAAGTGGAAGGAACAATTCAGAAAACCAAGTATTTCAAGAGATGAACTTAAATGTAAAATGGAGCAAGTTACAACTGGGTTCCTCTTTTAATACAGCAGGGTGTGGGTTGTTCTTTTTTCAGCAGAAATTTTATTATTTTCCTGCAATAATTTTTAAAGTTTAAATTGTTTTTCAGCTTTAAAACCAGTAAGCCTGGAAAAAATCCTCAGAGTAAAAAAAAAACCCCAACACTAAAACACACAACAAAGGAAAAACCCCGAACAAGCGAACACAAAATAATTTCAAAAAACCCACAAAGAAATCCCCCACCAAAGTCCAACAAAAAAAAAAACAAAAAAAAAAAACCAAAACATTAAGCCACCATAGGAATATTCAAGGACATCCAGGGAAGAGAGAGCTTCCATCTCACTACACAGTACACAGGCAATGCACTTACACTCTGGTGCCTTGGAAGGTAAAACATCCAGTTCCACATTCCCTGCTCCCTCACAGGCTACAGCCACGAGCAGGCCATGCAGCATTCTTGCTCTTTTGGCACACTTTGAACAAGTGACCAAAAGGTTTTCTGTTCCTTGCCAGCTCTTTCCAAATCCTTAAATGCTTACATGTATTTTCAAACAGGAACCAAGACTGAAAAACAGTCATCAAAACTGCTCCAATTTTAAAAATACTCACAAATCTGCTTGGCTGTTTTTTACTATTAAATCACTTGCCCTTCACACTCCTTTCCTTCCTTTCTTTGGATTTTTGCTGCCATTATAGTTCCACCCGTGTCCTTTTCCCCACTGTGGCTCATTTGTCACTCGACAGGTTTCACCTTGCAGCTGAAATCCTCCAAGAATACCATGGATGGACGGAGGTTTTTAAAAGCAAGGTGACCTTGCCTTT